TCTTGAGGTGTTCGATTCTTTTGGTGGCCCCGTTTGGATGGCCTTACACCTCTACTTGTGCCTGACCTGTCGTCGTGAGCGGCAGGAACTACTGTCCCCACACCCTTGCAGCCAAGGCTGCCTGGTTCTTCGGTTCCTTTCATTGTGCATGCGTGTCTGATCCGCTCAGTCTGTGGCCCCTGCGCAAGAACACGCAACAATCGTGAACCGTGCATCGTGCTGGTGGTGGGCGGCCTGGTTTGGTGTCCGAGCTTTCGGGAAGTGCTTGTGGCTGTGCTGCAACTGTGCCCCTTGATGGTGCTCGGCTCCTATTGGATCCCAGCACGCACGCGGGTTCTCCCCGTGGGCCCGGGCGTCGTAGGCGGAGGCGGAGGCGGAGGAGGAAGACAGGGGGCCCCCCCCGTCCTCGCCGGGCTCGACCGCACGTGACCAACGCCCCCATGGTGTCAGTGGCAAGGAGCAGAGAGGGAGGGAGGGAGGGAGGAGGGATGCAGGAGGGAGGGAGGGAGGGAGCATAGAGGGCCCTGGGGTGCGTGGAGCAGGGAGGGAAGGAGGGAGCAGGAAGGGAGGGAGGGAGCAGGCATGGGAGGCAGGAGTAAGGAGGGAGGGAAGGAGGGAGCAGGAAGGGAGGGAGGGAGCAGGCATGGGAGGCAGGAGTAAGGAGGGAGGGAGCAGGGAGGGAGGGGAGTAGGCAGGGAGGGAGAGAGGGAGAGAGCAGGGCGTGAGCACGGAGGGAGGGAAGGGAGGGAGCAGGGAGGGAGGGAGCAGGGAGGGAGGCCGGGTGTCTGTGGGAGCGAGGGAGGGCGACGGGATCGAGGCCTCCCCGCCCCCGCCGCGCCCCCAGGGCGGCCCTGAGACCCTGCCGCGCGCGCGCGCGGCCCACGGCCTCGCGCTCGCGCGAGTGGCCGGGGTGGCGTGCGCTAGCGCGGCGCCGGGGCGGCGTGCGCCGGGGCGACCGCGTGCCGCCTCTCCCGCGGGACGGGCCTGGAAGGAGCGAGCCCGGTGCCTCTGGGCCTCCTGGATGGGGTCCGAGTAGATGGGGTCGGAGGATCGCGCCGCATCGCCGATACATCGCCGATGCGACTCGATGTGGAGCCCGTGTTTCCCCACGCCGACGTCGCCGATGCAGCGCCGACGTCGCCGATGCATCGCCGATGCATCGCCGATGCATCGGCGATGCATTGGCGATGCGGCGCGATCCTTCGACCCCATCTACTCGGACCCCATCTAGGAGGTCTCTAGTGCCGCGACCATCGGCCAGAGTCAGCGGCAGGCTTCTTGAAGGCAGCCCTGCTTCTTAGAAGGCGCTATGGATGCAAGCCTGGCACCTTCTAAGAAGCAGCCTCCTTCTAAGAAGCCTTCCCCCCTCCCCTACCCCCTTCTGCGCGCCGCCAAAACGTGTACTCACTAACAGCGGATGCTTTGAAAGTTGCCGAAAGTTGCCTTTTTCTGGCTTCTCTCTGGTATTCCAGCGTTGCCCACATCGGGAAGGGTTGGGTTCGCCGGGTCACTGACCAACCAAAGTGCCCGTTGGTGGAGTCCCCGCTAGAGGGGCGTTGGCAGCGCTTCGAAGCATCGGTCCGTGCGGTGGGAGTCGAAGAAGACAAACGACATGAGCATATTTTTTTGGCGCTTCGCGCGCGGAGTTCTTGGATCCGCGCTGGGCTCCCCCCCCGGCGGCGACTTCAGCGCCGGCTCTGGCGCGCTCCACGCGCCAGGGAGTGGGGTCCAGCGCGGATCCCAGAAATCCGCGCGGAGCGCCAAAACTTAATATGCATATGCAGTTTTTTCTTCTTTTGTGAAAGGGGTACGGTAGGTTCACGCGGCGTTGGCGCGCTGGCGACGCCGGCGAAGGCGTTCAAGGTTGAATTCTGCGACGCGGACGCCTCAATGGATACGGTAACGCCACTGGACCCGATTGAATTCTATTTTGAACGATCGGGGCCGCGATCAATTCAAGGTCGAACGATCGACGCGGTGACACAAACCTTTGCGCGCGCGACGCCGCACGATTTTACCGTACGGATCGGCGGCGAGCGAGTGGGGGGGGAGTGAGAAGGAGAAGGCCCTCTCAGAAGGCCGCGGGGCTTCTCAGGAGCCCTCGCGCCCTCTGAGAAGTTTTCTGCGTCTGAGGGAGCAGGGAAAGGAAGGCGGCTGGAAAAGGAAACGCTTTAAACCACCTGCGCCAAGAGGGCTGGTGGGATTTTGGCACACCCCGCACACGTTTCGTGGCCCTATAGGAGGCTTCTCCGAGTTCGGTGCATAATTGCAACGACGGTGTTCACAACTGCATATGGTTGGCTCCTTCGCCAGGCGAGAGGAGGCGTGACCATCTTCTCATGAGGACTGTGACGAGACTCAGTTGTTGTGGTTGCATTTGCGATGGTAGTCGTTGTAGTCGCGGTTGTAGGCGTAGTCGTCGTCGCCGTGGTTGCACCTGCAGTCGTCATCGAAGTCTTGGTCGCAGTCCGAAGCGTCGCAGACGTTGCGGCGGAGACTGGTTTCCCTTTATTCTCTTGCAAAGCTGTGCTCTAGAGCTCGGACCTCTTTATTTTCGTCGTCGTTCGTTCGTTCGTTCGTCATTCGTCCTCCCCCCCCCACCCCCTGGCCACAGAAGGAAACTCCTGGAGGAAGGAGGCGAATGCCTCCTGTCCCTCTCAGCTCCTTGGTGCAAGAGCTAGGGCACGCGTGCCACTTGCTGTTGGGCGGACCGGACCACGTCGGGTTTTCTTTCTTCCTGGGAGAACCCCTCCTGGGCAAGCCTTCACGACAGAGGAACTTTGAGCACGTTTGTGCGAGTATTGCAGTTGAGATCGACACGGTCTTCGCCGAAGGCACTTCTCACAATCTCCTCTTTCATCTTGTCGTTGTCGTCGTCGTTGATGTGCGGCGGGTGTCGCGTAGAAGTGAAGTGGTTATTTTCCATTCTTGGTGGGGCCTGAGGCCGTCATTAAAAGGTCGTCGGCAGGTAGACAGTTTCCACTACTTGTGGGGGTTCTACAGACTTGTCCTGGTTGGTTCGGGTATCCACGACGAGTGGGGCCCCAGGATGGACACGGAGCGAAGGGGGGAAGATGACGGGGAGCAGGTCCTGCCACTTTCAGCAGGACTCGCCTCCGAAGTCTCCGCGGGTTGTGCCGATCCAGCTGCAGTCCCCCTCGAGATCCTGGCCAGAACGGACCCCAAGGCCTATCCGGGAGTCGATTGTTGATGGGGGGGCCCCAGATCCCCCCGCGTCAGGGAAAACAATTAGGGCGGGAGTTTTTTTTTTCCGGACGGGACTAGAACGAGGGTACATCCATCCGTCCCAGAGCATTCGTGAACGCTCTCCGGAACGCGTTGAGAAGGCCGCGGCGCTCGAGACATGCTCCAGAGCAGAGCCTCCAGAGCAGAGCCTCCAGAGATTCCCGGTGCATCCTCACCCGATTTTCTCCTCGGGATCATTTGGCATGTTGTCAGCATGTTTTGAGTTTCCTCACGCGATTTTATCCACGGGACAATGTGGAATTCTGTTCGCATCCGTCAGCCTCCACAGACCGCCTGCGAGCTCCAGGGCCATGCCCAGAGTTGTTCGCGCGCAGCGCGGGCGGAGGCTCAGCGGGGTCGGGGCGGGCCGTGAAGAAGCACGTCGGTAAAGTGGGCCTTTTTGGGAAGCTCATTTTATCAAACATAGTGAGTGCACTTCTGTGAACTTCTGTAGTGGCTACTGAAGACCGCCGATGGCCACTAAAGCGAAAGGCTGCCAGAGGCCGCTAAAAGCTGCTGACAGGCGATGACAGGCCATTTGAGTCTGCGGGTAACACACTCAAGGCCACTAAGGGCCACCAAGAGTTACCAAACCGAGGCGGTACATGTTAGAGTGAGTTTCCAAAAAGACGCGCCTAACGTCGGGACGGAAAAGGAGTCCTTGGAACAGGGGTCGAGAGGTTTGGGGACCACGCAGTCCAGAGAATTGTTCAAACCGTGGCATTTGGTAAAGTTGGAAGTTCGCGGATTGAGGTGTGGTGTGAGCGTGTTTTGGCTTGCTTCGGCTGGGGCCTCCGATGCCTCTGGAGGTCTGGACTCCGAGTTCCGTCGGAGCTCCCCCAAAGGCACACCGTCGGGTGAGCCGAAGGGTGCTTCGGAGTCAATGGACCGTTGTGCGACCCGAGTCGTCTCCGAGCATGTCTCCCGCACCTGGCTGGGCATCCGAAGTCCCGAGGCCCAAGACGCGTCCGCTGCTGGACCGTCTGGTGTGACGCCTCTAATGGGTTTCGATGTCATCGGGCGGTCTCTCGCATCCGCGGGCTTGGGGCTCCAACGGGACGTGCTCCAGTCATACGTGGCGTCGCCACGACTCCGTCTCGCTGCACCAGGCGGAGGCGTGCGTCGGCGCCAGCGCCGGGCCCTCGTGCCCGCCGCGCCCGCGCCGCTTGCGGGCGGCGCCTTCTCCAGTGGAGTCTAATTTTTCAGGGGTCGTGACCCTTGGAGCGTGGATCCAGGGTGAGTCATGAGAGGACGTAGGCGGGTGAGCGCGGGCCCAGCGTAAGGTACACCGTCTGGCGGCCTTGAGAGCGAAGGCTGGTGCACTGTGAATTGATACGGGTCGTGGCCCTGGCAGCGCGGATCCGGCGTGGTTCGAAGAAGATCGCGGCCCTGTGACTGCGGGTACGGCGTGCTGTACAAGTGGATCGAAGCCCTGGCAGCGCGAGCCCACTGTAATTTAGAAGAGATCGCGGCCCTACGAGCGCAGATACCGCGTCATGTGCGAGGACTCGTCGGAGGCAATCAACCTGATACGCTCCCAGGTCACAGCTTTAAGCCGTGTTTCGGAGCCAGTGGGGAGACTTACAGAGGGGGGTGATCAGATTATTACGTTTGGTCGGCATCACAACAACACTATTGAAGCCAATTGCTCACAGCCTTCATCGTTGTACCACCATCGTTGTACCACCACCATGTCGAGTCTTGCGGATCTCCTTCATCGTTGTACCATCATTGTAGGTGCCACGCACTCCCGGAGCCAATCCAGCGCAAGGAGGGACTGAGTTGTTTTCGCGTTGTCCTTCCGCGCTGCCACATGGCGTTCTCCTGATCCTGACTATCACTCAGGACTAGCGCGCCAGTAGCGCCAGGACCTCCGTGGCGGGATGGCCGCCGGCGTCGTAGCTCTTAAGGTTCAGCAAGCCCACCACAGCCGCCACCATGACAATCTGGAACGAGACCGAGATCGAGATCGCCAGCGAGATCGTGAGCGAAGAAGAAGAAGGGAAGACGACCAGCGCCGCCGATCCTGCGCTGAAAGGCGCCGCCGATCCGACTCCAAGCCGAAGGATGGGAACGACGAGGAGACGGACCCCGAGGTCACCAGGACGGACATCATCACCGAGCTGGAGGTGGTGAAGAAGCTCCAGGAAGGCAGCCACATGGAGCTCGAGCTGAAGGAGGTGGAGGAGTTCGCGAAGGCGCTCGGCACAGACCAGGACGGGAAGGTAAAACTGCAGGATGTTCTGAACGTCCTCACGGCTAAGCTGGACCCGCCCGTGCCCGAGGATCAGGCCGTGGCTTTTCTGACGCCGGCGATACAGCGCTCTGTCGAGGATGTGGAGACGGTGTCTATCGAGAACTGCTCCGTCATGCCGATGGACCTGCACTGGGCCCTGACCCATCTGGCATGAGGGACAGTGGTTCCTGGATGAAGGGACTCCTGGAGGTTTTGTTCCGAACCATCCTGTGGTGTGGGGTCCTCGTTTTGAAGAGAGAGTCCCCGCGTCCTCCTCTCCTCTCCCCCCCATCCTTCTCCCATCCCTGCCTCTGCTTTCTGCACGTTTCAGTTTCGGCACACCCCTCACATGTTTCGTGGCACCATGGGGAGCTCCACCGAAGGCCCCAGTGGCTGGTCCACATTCGCTTCCCCGCCCCATTTCGGCACACCCCTCGCACGCTTCGTGGCCCCATAGGGGGCCCCCACAGAAGGCCTCAGTGGCAGGGTCCACATGCGGTCCTCCGCTATGTCATTCGGACACACCCATCACACGCGTCGTGGCCCCATAGGGAGCTCCACCGAAGGCCCCAGTGCCAGGGTCTACGTGTGGTTCCCAGCCTCGTTTCGGCACACCTCTCACACGCTTGGTGGCCCCATAGGGAGCTCCACCGAAGGCCCCAGTGCCAGGGTCCACATGCGCTTTCCCGCCCGCTGTCGGCACACCCATCACACGCGTCGTGGCCCCGTAGGGAGCTCCACCGAAGGCCCCACTTCGGGTGGCCCCGCCCCACTTCGGGTGGCCCCATAGGGAGCCCCACTGGCGGCCCCAGTGGCAGAGTTCACATGCGGCCCCCCCCCAATCTGGATACACACACACACACCGGCACACCAGCACACCCCTCACACGCTTCGTAGCCCCACAGGGAGCTCTACCGAAGGCCCCGGTGGCAGGATCAACATGCGGTTCCCCGCCCACTTGGCCACACCACACACGGGGGAGCGTAAGACCCGGGTTTGCCAGGACTCGGGTTCGCCATCGTTTTTTGACGACCGCGCCTCGGATTTTGACGAGTAGGAGTTTCGTAGGATGTTTGCAGCGGGAGGCCTCGTCAAAATGCAGGCTCGGCCTCGTCATTTTTTTGACGACCTCGTCGGGGATTTCCGAGTCCCCTGTACCCAGGTCTTACGTCCCCCTGACTCTTCCTTCTCTTCCTCCTCCTCCTCATCCTCATCCTCCTCCTCCTCCCTCTCATCCTCCTCCTTCTCCTCCTTCTCCTCCTCCTCCTCCTCCTTAGCCTAGACCCGTGGCCACTCGGGCCACGAATCGTGGCCACGAATCGTGGCCACTCGGGGAGCTCCACCGCTGTCGCCCACAGCGTGGTGTTCACACTTCTGCATAGCGTTGGGCCTCTCGGGCGGGTAGTTCTCCACCGCCGGGCTCCCCGGGGCCCCTCGTTGGCTTCGAGGCTGTCAGGGCGCGGCTCGACAGGAAAATGTGGGCATTGGGCGCTCATCCTCTTCCTCCTCCTCCTCCTCCTCCTCCTCCTTCTCCGCCTCCTCCTCCTCCTCTTCCTCCTCCTCCTCCTCCTCCTCCTCCTCCCCAGGATGCAGGGCCCGTTTCCACCAGGTCTGTTCTCTTTCATGCTGGCCCATGGGAAGACCGCGCGCATGTTGAAGAAGTCCCGCTTCATGGACGATGAGGACAAGCCCGATATCAACGTAAAGCTTCTAGTGGACACCGTAGTGAAGATCACCAACCGCCATGATGCGTTCATGACGCTCCCGATCACTGCCTTCTACATGTGCCTCTTTGTCGTGCTGGTGATGACACACTTGAGGATCTGGCCGCGCCAGACCAGCGAGAAGGCGCTCGAGGAGTGGGTCAACGGGCGAGATCCGCGCACAAACTGCGAGAACAACGTCGACAATATGGAGGCATTTTGGGAGTGGTTCCTCGGAGACGAAGATGGTATCAAAGGGGTGATCAATTTCCCGCGGCCTTCTCAAGCGGTCCCAGACCCCACTTGGAAATATTACACGTTGGCCAACAATCACGTCCTCATTGGAGACATGAAGATCATCAAGAGCATGCGCAATGGTGCTCAGGAGGAGAGGTGGTTGTTGCACTCGGGTTGTGGTCAGGAGGCGCTCCAGGCAGGGAGTGCTGACGAGGTCGCTGCCTGGATGGCAGCACAGTGCTTGATGACAGGCTGCTCGACCACATCGTGCATAGCACAGGGTAGCGCTGGTACCCTTGCCAAGTGGGACGATCCAGACATCGCCACGCTTGTGGTCACCTTCGTCACCTACAACGAGAGGGCGCAGATGTTCGGCCTGACGTCGGTGAATATCAAATTCTACGAGTGGGCTTCCGTTTACAGCAGGATCAATTCAGAGGTGGTCGCCGTGCAGGCATACCCATCGGCGTCGGTCATCTTGGCCGAGGTACTCTTCGTGATCGTGATCCTGTGGATGACATGGGTAGAGGGCAAAGACATGCTCCATTCGCTCATGCTCGGATGCGGCGAGTTCAAGGACTACTGGCAGTTCTGGAACTGTGTGGACTGGGTCTGCATCTTGCTTGGCATGTTGCTGATCATCACCTGGCTTGTGTGCACGGCGGCGATGCATGGCGATGGGATGAGATCGATCCTGGATGATGACGGCAAGCTGATGGTGGATCTGATGGCTCTCGATGAGGCCTCTGTGGAACGTGTCATGAGCGAGGTCGACGTCCTGCAATCGAGGTTCAGGTGGTTGCATTTGTTCATGGCAGCGAATACGGTCAGCATTGTGGCGAAGTTCTTCAAAGCCTTCACCTCGAACCCCCGCTTGAAGGTGGTGACCGACACGTTCAAGCATGCAAGTACCGATTTCGCGCACTTCTTCATCATCTTCTTCACGATCTTCCTTCCCTTCACGATCATCGGTCACGTGCTGTTCGGGAACGACCTCGAAGAGTTCAGCAGCATCGGTAGCAGTTTCAACACTGGCATGCAAGTCATGCTCGGCGACTTCGCGTGGTATGTCGGAGTCATGGAAGAACGATCGCTGTATGGAGAAACAGCCTACTTGCCCTCGGGTGTCCCGGTCATCATGGTGTTCATCTGGCTCGCGTCCTACATGTTTCTAGTATTCCTGGTGTTGCTCAACGTGCTGCTGGCCATCATCATCAAGCATCAGACACATGTGGACTCCCAGCTTGGCATGCAGGCCGAGGCCGAATGCCCCACGATTTGGAAGCAGGTGGCAGACTACATCGAGTTTCGAAAAAAGTCCAAGGGCTTCAAATACAGCTTGGAGCACGTGCGGCGATTGTTGGAGAATGACGACGAGCCCGCCCACGGAGAGGACGAAGACGCGGAGGTCACGGAGGATTCTTTGAAGCAGGCTTTTCAGGACATGTCCGAGGAGCAGGCAGCCTACCACATTGAGATCATGAGGCTCGAGCTGGCGAGCAGGGATGAGAGGGAGAAAAAGGAATCCGGAGGGAATGATCCCGCTCTTTCGAAGACCGAGTTCGAGGAGTTCAAGGACAAGATGAGCGCCAAGGTCGACGAGATCTCGGAGGTCTGCAACCAGCCCCTCGACAAGAGCTTCGGCAGCATCAGCCGAACGCTGAGCGAGGTCCTGCGCCTCTTCGAGAAGCTCCAGAGCCAGCAGAGCTCCCTCGGCAGGCGGGTGGACGAGCTCCAGCGCGGGACGCGGGGCAGCCCCAGGGACGACCGCACGGTGGCCGCGCCTGCGGATCCCCTCGACGGCCAGGCCGGGCGGGCCAGGGCAGGGACACACACCGTTCCAGAGGAGGAGGAGGAGGAGGAGGAGGAGGAGGAGCAGGAGGAGGAGATTCCCGACTCATCCCCAGAGATCAACACGATGTGGTGATTTTTCAGCATGGGGTCCCCGGAGGCCTCGACTTGCTCCCCAGGGCCGGTTTCTCGAGCAGTCTGCCCACAGTCCCAGGGCCAGCGAGGCCGAGAACGGCGAAGAGCTTCAGCATTGAATCCCTGTCCGATGCCGTCCCTGCCCTGGCCTCCGCCCGGCGAGGCCAGAGACGAGCGCGCTGCGGCGCCCAGGCTCGCGGACGACAGACACATCCGTACCCGCGGCCTCGCGGGCCAGGTCCCTGGGCCGCGAGCCCGCGGATACAGTCGGGGCCCTGAAGAAGGAACCCTTTTCGTTGGGGAGGGGCTCGGTGTTCCTTGATTGTTCTGCAGTTTGCCATCTGTTTTCCTGAGGTTTTCCATGGGAAATCGAAGCTCAACCTATGGGAGGAAGGGGCCCCGTTCCTTATTTAGGGTTCCTTAGGTCAACGCCCCGACTGTACGGGGCGTTTCTTCGCGGATGCCCCGCGCGGAACGTCTCCGTGCGACCGCGCACCGTGCGACCGCGCATTCGCGGGATCGCGCCCTGGAGTCCAGACCGCGAGGGCGTGGATACAGCCAAGACGTTGAAGGAAGGGCCACGTTCGGTTCGGAAGGGGCTCTCGCTGTTCCTCCGGGCAATGCCGTGGCGCGCTCTTCCTCTCTCTGGCTCTCCTCGTGCACCCAGGCGCTCCTGGTGCCCCATACATGGAGCCACTGCTGCTCACCTGGAACGCTCCCGGCTCGACCGTACGCGGCTCTCTTCGCCGCTCGCGACAGGCCGGCCTCTGCGCGAGGCGGCGGCGACGGGGGCGCGCGGCGCGACCCCGCGGACGACCGCCGCGGCAAGCGGCGCAGGACGCCCCCCGACGCCGGCGCGCGGGGCGCGTAGGGGCCGCGGGGGCAGCAGCGGGGGGGATCGGGCAGCACCGGGGCCGAGGCCGGGTGCTGCCGCCCCTGGACACGCCGCCAGCGCCCGGCACGCCTGCTCGACGACACGTGAGTCGGGCACGCCCCGCTAAGGGAGGAGATCTGCAATAATAGAAGGAAGCAGGTCTATAGTGACGGTGTTGATGTATTGGGTGATGTGTTTTTTGTTGGTGCTTTTTGCTTTATTTCCGGATGATGTTGGTTTGGCGTGTGGAGTTCTTGTGGCCAGGCGTGTTGTTCGGGTTTGCCTTCAACTGGTATCCAAGACCCGCTTGTAGGAGGACATGCTGGACCTGAGACTACGCGTAAGGGTGACCTTTCGCCGGAGTGACCTCTGGTGCGGGAGGACTCCAGAGGATGGTAATGAGGTGTGACCTCAATGGGGGGTGGAGAGAAGGATCCGAAAGGGGCGTTACAGGTATCCTTTTGGGGGCCTCGCTGGCTCCAGAAGGGGCCCTTCAGGGCCCCATTGAGGGTCCTTCTCTTCACCCTCCCATGTAGCTCACCCTCGGTGCCACGTGCCCGAAGGACTGAGGTCTCCAGATGGTTGCGCGCGATGCGATAGCAGCGTCTTGCGCCCTCGGATTTGGCCTCCCCGCGGCATCGAAAGTCGCGCACCAAAGCTCACTCCTGCCCAGGGTCACTCATTGCGTGTGGCCGACTCTGGCGGCGCATCGAAGGGGGCAGGGCGGGGGTGGCCACCTCCGAAGAAGGCAGAGGGGGCTTCTTATGGAGGATCGGCCCCTTCCTAGGGACCCCTTCTCAGAGCGCTTCTTCTTAGAAGGCTGCAGGGTTCCGACGAGGCATGGTGCCTCCTTGGAATCAGAGCGTGAATTACCTCCCCCGCTTTCGCTTCCAGGCAAAACCAAGCCATACCACGCGCCTCCTCGTCAAGCGGCCTGACCAGTACAGGCCGCAATTTGGCATCGTTTGGTATCTCTTGGAAGCGAGGGCGGCCAAAAGCGAGGTAGGTTTGTTTTCCCCCGACGGAAAGCCCCCCGTGCTCCGACCAAACCAGGACCCCTCCTGGTGCCCACCCCAGCCACACTCTTCGAGCTGCGCCCAGCCGTGGCCTCGAGGGCACCCGCGTCGACGTCTCCCGAGGCGTCGTCGATCTTCGACCCAGGCATGGTACGGTGCATCGTAGTTCAGCCCCTCAGAGCCGACAAACCATGCACCGTACCGCGTTGGAGCGGGGCCTGAAGGGAGTCCAGACATGGTACGGTGCATGGGCGCTGTTGTTGCATGTTGAACGTTTGGAGCCAGACGGGTGTCTGAGGCGGCTCAGCATGTGTTCTGGCGAGCAGGAGGGAGGGGGGCGGGGTTCGAACAGGTTCTGTTTTTTCTGCCTCCGGGGGCCGTTTCTATGCCCCGGGACTGTCAAAAACGGATCCAGGGTGAAGGAGTGCACCAGATGGGCCCTTGGAAGGGTCCAGGAACCGATTTTGACCGGATTTGCCCGTATCCCCCCTTCTTGACATATCCTAGAGGCTTGCGCCACATCCGCCGACCCCATTACAAGTATTTCGCTTGGACGTTGGTGGTGTCCTGGGTCCTCCTTTGGACGTCCACGGGGCGCCCAATGGGCTCTCTGGGAGTTTTTGGGGCCGCATGGGGGCGTCCTTTGGGAGTCTCTGGGAGGCCAGGAGGGGAAGGGGGGGGAATCAGCTCACCCGCCGGGTGACGCCCCTTATGTTTGGCGGCGTCACCAGGAATGCACTCCACCACCACCACTGTGTACTGGTCCACCTCCAGCGAGGCAGAAAGAAGTCCCGATACCGTTTGCCGGGATGCCGCAGATAGATCGTTGTGTTGTTGTTTTCGACGTTGGGCGTTGTCGTTGCTGCGTTCTTTGTATAGTCTTGTTGTCAGCATCGTCGACAATTGTTGTCGCGCGTCGTCGTCGTCGTCGTTGTTGCCGTCGTCGTCGTTGTCAGGTTTACGGTGTCGGCCGCAGATCCCGCGACCCCCGCACCGTCAGCGTTGTTGCGGTCGTCGTTGTCGTCGTCGTGGTCGTCATCGGTTTCGTCGTCGTGCATGACCCCACGGTTTCAAGCACTGTCTCTGGTTTTGCGCGCCGCGCACGAATATTTCCAGAGACCATCAGTTACGCGGATGGAGGGCGCCAGTGTCACGGCAATGATCGATGCCGTTACTTTTTGGGGCCCCTTCTCAACACAGTGTGGTGTTTAAAACAATTCAGGGTCTGGCTTTTGGTGCGAGCCTCAGTTGAGGAAATTGAAGCTGGCCTGGATATTTCAAAATCGCGGCCATCACCTGCTTTGAAACACGCCCTTCGCGAGGGTGTTGTTCAAAACGGCCGAGGGAGCGATTTCGGTGCGAGCCTCAGCTCACGGCCCTTCCTTGCGGCCCCCCCCCCCCGAAAAAAACCCACCAAAAACCCTCCTCAAAGGTTTTTGTTTGGGTGGGGGGGCGTCCTGGGGGGCCAAGGAATCCCCTAAACAACTTTCAACCGAAAAAACCCAATGGGGGTGTGGACGCGCGGTCCAGCAGGGACTCTGCGTTTCTTTCTTCGCCTGTGTCGCCTCGCCGTTTGTTCCTCCTGCTGTGCTCGTGCCCCTGTCGTCGTCGTCCTCACAGTGTTGTGGGCCGGCGCTGCGCTATCCGTGGGTGGAAGCCCGTGCAGTTGGCTCCAAGACGTCCTGCGATGCTCCGAAGACGGCCCAAGATGGTTCCAAGCAGGGCTCAAGAGGAGCCCAACACGGGGAAGTCTACAGGTCCCCGGCGACCCTCCCCCACCAAGATCGACCCCAAGACACTCAATATGCCCCCAAGGCCTACGCATCTCGTAGAAGCCCCCCCAGCAACCTCCACAAAATTCCCAGAGGCCCCCCGAACAAATCCCAAAGAACAGGTCCAGACTCCAAGAGACTTCTCCCAGGCGTGAGGCACATGTCTTCAACTAGAACCTAGACGTGCGCGAATCGCGCCCGCGGCCTTAGGATACATCTTCACATGCAATTCCAAGATGCGCGCCAAGCAGCAAACCAGCCGGCGGCGCCCGCTTGCAGAAATCACCCAGCGAAACGGATTTTGAGGTTCCAGCCAGGCTAGCATTGGAGAAGGAGAAGCTGGATCAGGAAGAAACGAATGTCTTCGCAACCTTCTCCCCCTACTCCTCCTCCTCCTCCTCCTCCTCGGAGGAGGAGGAGGAGGAGGAAGACAAGCCGGGCGGGGCAAGGACAGGGATGACACGTCCCAGAACGCTCTCAGAGCGTTTCGGAAAGCTCTGAGAAGCAGGGGCCCTCAAGGGCACCTTTGAGGCCATGTTCTTCACCCCGCAGTTTGGTCAACCCCCCACTACCCCCCACCCGAGCGGTGACGCTTGCGCAGACTTTCAAGTTGGAACGCGCCCCCTGGAGCGTTTGGGTCCGGGGGCCCACAGAACAAAGCCACGGCGAGGAAAATGTATGCAGGATCGTGCGAAGAGCCTCCGGAAAACTTCAGGAGCCTCAGAGTCGCGTGGTGTCGGTAAGCAGCGCCCCAGTCGTCGTGGCACGAGCTCGCCGTGAGGTGGACACAGCCAGTGGCCACGAGCCCCAGAGCCTTCCAAGAGGTACGTGCCGCTTTGCGCGCGGGCGGGCCGGTCGGGTGCGACCCTGCGATTTTTACAGCGGGGTCACAACAAAAGGCTCCGTGTAAGTTCGCGCCGGGTCGACGCGGCGGTGACGCCCGCGCGGACGTTCAATCTGGAATGCGCCCTGACAGCGTGTCGGGCCAGGGGGCCTACAAAAGTGAACCCTGGTGGGAAATCCAGCTTCAAGAAGATTCAAGAGCCTCAAGGGGACACCAGGAGCTTCCGATCCACGTGGTTTGAGAAATCAACGTCCCGATCGCAACGACGCGAACCCACCGCGAGATTGTGGCAGGCAGCCCGAACGAAACCTGAGCTTTCCCCAGACCTCCGACGATGCGCCTTTTCTTCCCAGTGCGCGGCCCCAGAGGGCCCTGGGTAGTTCTTCGTCCCGGATCCGTTTCGGATGGCCCTATAGGGCCCGAAGGCGGCCCCGAAAGAGAATACGACCTCGAAGAGAGCTCGCCGGGATGGAAGAAATCGATTCGTCGAGGCGCCTTGCCAGGAGGAGGAGGAGGAGGAGGAGGAGGAGGAGGAGGAGGAGGAGGAGGAGGAGGAGGAGGAGGAGGAGGAGGGGGGAGGAGGAGGAGGAGGAGGGAGGAGGAGGAGGGCCACATCGAGGGGGCGGGGCCTGGGCTTCTGGGGGACGGGGGCGGGGTCTGCGTCCAGCGCCCGCCTCCTCCTCCTCCTCCTCCTCCTCCTCCTCCTCCTCCTCCTCCTCCTCCTCCTCCTCCTCCTCCTCCCCCTCCCCCTCCCCCCTCTTCCTCCTCCTCCTCCTCCTCCTCCTCCTCCTCTCCCTCCTCCTCCTCCTCCTCCTCCTCCTCCTCCTCCCTCCTCCTCCTCCTCCTCCTCCTCCTCCTCCCTCCTCCTTCTCCTCCTCCTCCTCCTCCTCCTCCTCCTCTTGCAGGGCGTCGGCCGCACGCCTGCTACCCGGCCTGGGCCAAGCAGATGATCCAGCTTTGTCTTCTTTTTTTTTGTTGCGCAGGCCTTCGGTGCAGCACCAGCCAGAAGGGGCGCCAGTTGGCCAGGGCAGCTTGTGCTTTGAACCTTCGGGGGGGCTCGCATCGTAAGTTGAGTGGTATCGAAGGAGTCCTCTGAGAGTGAAGCCGGACAAGAACTCCAGGAGGTTCTGTTCTGCTCTGCTCCTCCTCCCCTTCATCCTCCTCTCTGCTCCTCGCGGCTCCCGATGGCACCGCCCTGCGCAGCGCTGCGGTGCAGACGGAGGAACCCGTCACTTTCCGCTCGACTCTTGTCCAAATGCACGTTTTTTGTTATAAAACTATCGCACCCCTCCGGCAGAACGCCCGAAGCAGGTTTTTACGCAGCTGCGATGGGACTCGGCATCGTGACAGTGATGAGCCAAGCGCAGTTCTGCCCCCATGCTGGCAGCTCCAGGGGCGTTCCCGCAGCGCTCCTGCGGGCCTCCTGAGAGCGGGAAAGGGGCGCTCCTGGATGGCGGCCCTGGCGGTGCGCTCCTGCCGGCGAGTTCCTGGTGGCGCTTTTGCGGGGCATTCCAGGAACGCTTCTCCTGGGTCCTCCTCGCGTCGTGGCAAGATTCTCGACGGGCGGCCGTTTGGTAGTGTGTGTGTATGTATGTGTATGTATGTATGTATGTATGTATGTATGTATGTATGTATGTATGTATGTATGTGTGTATGGATGCATGTATGTATGTATGTATGTATGTATGTATGTATGCATATATGTGTGTGTATGCATGTGTGTATGTATGTATGTATGTATGTATGTATGTATGTATGTATGTATGTATGTATGTATGTATGTATGTATGTATGTATGTGTGTGTATGTATGTATGTATGTATGTATGTAGGTATGTATGTATGTATGTATGTATGTATGTATGTATGTATGTATGTATGTGTGTGTCTGTATGTATGTATGTATGTACGTACGTACGTACGTATGTATGTATGTATGCATGTATATGTGTATGTATGTATGTATACATGTATGTATGTGTGTATGTATGCATGCATGTATGTATGTAATCATGCATGCATGGATGTATTGGTGTATGCACATACGTACGTACGTATTTATATGTTTGTCTGTGTGTGCGTGTATGTATGTGTGTATGTATGTGCGTACGTATGTATGCATGTATGTATGCGTGTATGTATGTATATAAGCATGCATGCATGTATGCATGCGTGTCTGCATGTATGTATGTATGTATGTATGTATGTATGTATGTATGTATGTATGTATGTATCATGCATGTATGAATGTATGTATGTATGTATGTATGTATGTATGTGTGTATGCATGTATGCATGCATGTATGTATGCATGTATGCATGTATGCATGTATGCATGTATGCATGTGTGCATATATGTGTTTAAGCATGCATGCATGTATGTGTGTATGTGTTTATGTACGTACAACTGTGTGTACGTCTGTCTGTCTGTCTGTCTGTCTGTCTGTATGTCTGTCTGTCTGTCTGTCTGTCTGTCTGTCTGTATGTATGTATGTATGCATCGTCTCTCTCTCTATATATAAGTATGTATAGGGTCATGATGATTTCCCAGTCAGCGCTTGCACTGAAGGGGTCCTATAGATTGGAAGATTTGGCGAAAGTACCGGGCCGATTTCGGAGGGCGGCTGGGTTCCCGGGTTTCTGGGTTCCGGGTTCCTTGGTTCCCGGGTTCCCGGTTTCGGGCCGACGTCGGTTGACGGCGGGGTTCTTGGCTTCCCGGCTTCTTGGTCTATCGATATGTCGCACCATCAGTTCCATTACCCACATCTATATCGATCTCACGATCGATCTCATAAGCGTTCTCATTATCGATATCACAGTCGATCTCACTTAGATCGCACGAGCGATCTCACGAGCGATCTCACGATCGAATTCATTGAATCGACTTCACTATCGGTCTCACGATCGACCCTACAACCGTCTTCACTATCGATTCAACTATCGATCTCACGACCGACCTCACAATCGATCTCCATATCCACATCACTAATGTTCAAACCATTCCGCATATGGGGTCTGGTGTAATATGTATTCATTTATACGCATACATACATACATACATACAAACATACATGCGTACGTACGTACGTACGTACATACATACATACATACATACTACATGCCGCAGTAGGCTGGGGGAGGGGCGGGCCGGCCGCTGACTGTTCCCCCCATGGGTGTCCGCCAGGGATTGTGAGGGAGTTCCAGAGCTCCCGAGGCGCCCGGGGCCGCCCCGAAACAGGCCACGACAGCCTAACGGGGGTCCCGAGAGGACCCAAGACGGCCCCAAGAAGCCCCAACGACGCCCAAGATGCCCTCAAGACAATCGACGAGCAATCCAACACGCTCCAGGACGGACTCAAGAGGCTCCCCAAGAGGGCCCTGGGAGAGGCAGAATTCATTAACTTTCTGGGCGTGTTTGAAGGATTTGGGCGTTCTCGCCTTCCCGCTTCCCAGCGCTCCCTCACGACCTCGGAGGCCCTTCAGATCGCTCCAAGACGGCTCACGAGGCACCCAAGAGGGCCCCAAGACGGCCCAGGAGGCCCCCCAGACAACCCCAAGTGAGCCCCAAGAGCGTGACAAGAGGGGGCCTAGAGGGGTCCCGAGGCGGCCCGGGCCCGCCCCGAAGCAGGCCACGACAGGCTGATGGGGGCCCCGAGAGGGCCCAAGACGCTCCCAAGAAGCCCCGAAGACGCCCAACCTGCCCTCAAGACGGCCGACCAGGACTCCAACACGCTCCAGGACGGACTCAAGAGGCTCCCCAAGAGGGCCCTGGGAGTGGCAAAATTCAATCATTGTCAATTGTTTTTGAAGGATTTTGGCGTTCTCGCTTTTCCCGCTTCCCAGCGCTCAGACACGGCCTCGGGGGCCCTTCAGATCGCTCCAGGACGGCCCGCGAGGCCCCGAAGAGGGCCCCAAGACGGCCCAGGAGGCTCCCCAGACAACCCATGTGAGCCCCAAGAGCGCCCCAAGAGTGGGCCCAGAGGCGGACCGCCAACCGATATTTCGAGGTCTCTGGCCCTAGAGGCCCCCAGTAGGCCCCCGGACGAAGCCCCGTGCGGCGCCCAAGAGGCCCCCAGGAAGCCCCAAGGGACCCCCAAGGGGCTTCCAGTGAACGCCCAGGAGGCACCCCAACACATCCCAACAAATCATGTTCCCAGAAAGCCTTCCGGGGACATGGCTCAGCAGATCGTTTAGCACAAAGTTGCCCAAAGTGCCCTCTTGAACCGACGATAACGACGACGACGAAGACGACGAAACGACGAAGACGAGGACGACGACGACGGCGCGCCCCGAGAGGCGACGATGGCATTAAGACGACGACGACGACGACGACGACGACGACGACGACGACGACGACGACGACGGCACTCCCCAACAGGCTCCCCGAGACGCCCCCAAAACCCACGTTCCCGGAAGGCCTTCTGGGAACCCGATTCATCGGGCCCCCCGTCCCCCTACACAACCATCTCCCCCGACAGCCTTTCAGCATGCGGATTGACATGCGTGGACTGTGGTCCATTATTTCAGTGGAGCAGTGAACTCGTCAAGGCCTGGAGCCTGCTAGAGCCTGAGCGCGCGCGATGTTTCTAGTGCTTATTTGTGTGTATATATATATATTCCCTAATCAGTGCTTGCACTGAAGGGGTCCGAGCGGAAGTTGAAAGATTTGGCGAACAAATCCCGCCGACTTTGCTAGCAGGCTTGGTTCCCGGGTTCCCAGTTCCGGGTTCACGGGTTCCCGGTTATTGGATCCGGGCCGATTTCGGTGGGTTTTGGGTTCCCGGGCTCCCAGGTTCGAAAACCATCCACTGATTGGGGTCGTTCTTTGGTGATATATGTATATGTATATTATATATTATATAATATACTATAATATAATATACTATAAGGCAATATAATATAATATGATATAATATGCTATAATATAATATAATATACTATAATGTTATATATTCTGATATAATATAATATGATATAATATAGTATGATATAATATAATATTAGATATTACGATATAATATAATATAATATAGTATGATATACCATAATATAATATAAGACAATATAGCATCATATAATATAATAGAATATAATATTATATAATATCAGAGAATATAATATACTATAATATAATACAATATCATATAATATAATATAGTATAATAAACTATAATATAATGTACTAGTACACAATATACTATAATGTAATGTAATATAATATAATATATAATGTAATACATTATAGTATAATACATTATAATATAATATATATATATAATACAATATATATATACATATATATATATATGTGTATAGGTGTGTGTGTGGTCGCCCCCCCCCCCAGCCCCCATCCCCAAGATAGTTTTTGTTATTACTATTGCCCGACAGGGCGCCAGTCCAGGTTTTTCTTTAGTAGGTGAACTTGTCCCCGGCAGATTATGTGAGATTAATGAGAGGTAAAGTCCCATCCTAAGTGGAAAAATTGAGTTTCGCGCGCACGCGCGAGGAAAGGGCGCCCCCCATCTCGGATCCTCGTTACCTAACTGGGTCCGTGGACTTTCGTTTTCCCTCGAACAGAAAAGGTGCGAAGCGTTTTGCGCAGAATCCGAACTAGAATGACGAAGTTCGGGGACACTAGGATTTCACCGAAAATTGCAGAACGTTATCGTTTTGCTTGCCTGCTCGATGGCGGCGCGCCCTGCGCGAAGGTTTCTCGAAGATGTGTATGGCCCCACGCTTGTTTTGCAGAACGAATGTTGGCTTTTTGAGTGCCCGCTCGAGGATGGCGCGCTCTGCGTGCCGAAAATATGCGGAAGTCTCAAGCAAATCGCTTGTTTCGCAGCGCTTGAAAGGCCTGGGCGCCCCAGGATGTTCAGGTTGTTTTGGGAGTGTGGTCGGACCGTTCTTTACGCGGGATCATGGCCCCAGGTGCGTGACAACTCGTGGGTCCCCAACGCCCCAGAGCGGGACAAGCGTGAAAACGCTTGGGTTCCTAACGCCTCTTGAGCGGGACAAGCACGAACACACGCGCGGGCTCCGAACGCCCCTTAGAGCAGGACAGGCGTGAATGTGCTTGGGTTCCTGGCGCCCCAGAGCGGCACAAGCGTGAAAACACTTGGGTTCCTCACGCCCCAGATCGGGACGAGCGTGCAGGCATTTAGGCCCCTAACGCGCTGGAGCGGGACGCGGGCATGGTTCTGAAAGCCACACACACACACGCACACGCGCACACACGCACGCACGCACACACGCACACACGCACACACGCACACACGCACACACGCGCGCACGCACGCGCGCACGCGCGCACGCGCGCACGCGCGCACGCACGCACGCACGCACGCACACACGCACACACGCACACACACATGGGTCCCAACGCCCCAGAGCGGACACGGCATGAAACACATGTGGGTTCCTAACGCCCTTGAGCGGGACAGGCACGAACACACGTGGGTTCCTAAAGCCCCAGAGCGGGACAAACGTGACATGATCTCGGCGGAGGATCCACCCATATGTAGTTGTGGTTTCCGAGTTGTGGGTCCATCTTTCGACAGGTTTTCCGATGGGGCCACCATCTAGGGATTTGATGCGCGCTCCGCGGCCCCGTGCGGATTCGCAATCGGGGGCCTATCGCCGATCCATCGGCGATGCATCGCCTGTTCCAGGTCGATGTTTCTCCCCTCTGCCAGACACCCTTTCTCGTTGCCCCTTTGTTCCTCCCCCCCATCAGTCCTCTCCCTGTCTCCATCCCAGATCTCCGACTAGTATATGTTTTTTGTTTGCTTTCAATCCTGGTGTTGTATCTCCATGTTGGTCTCCGGACCCAGTTCTCGGGCCCTGGGACCATCAAGTCTGAACCTGAGGCGAAGAACTGGCCCTGGGGAAGGAGTCGGAACCTCTGTGGCCGCGCACTGTAAAAGCCACGTCGTCGGATGTCTGGGTTCTCATGCTCCTGCGCCGCTTCTTGCCCCCACCCTCCTCCGCCCTCCTCTCCCTCCGTCCTCCCCCCTCCTTGTCCTCCCCTTTTTCTCTTTTTACTCCTCCTCTGCCCTCCTCCCTCGGTTCATTCTCGCTCTCCTCGCATCGGGCGACGGGTACGGCGCACATCCACCTGTCACGCCAGGGCCCATCCTGGCCCCCGTATTGGTGAAGGCACCGATCCTGGGCAGGATGAGCTTGGCCAGCGGCCACAGGAGGAGGAGGAGGAGGAGGAGGAGGAGGAGGAGGAGGAGGAGGAGGAGGAGGAGAGGAGGAGGAGGAGAGAGAGGAGGAGGAGAAGGAGGAGGAGAAGGGGAGGAGAGGAGGAGGAGGAGGAGGAGCAGGAGGGAGGAGGAGAAGAGGAGGAGGAGGAGGAGGAGAGGAGGAGGAGAGGAGGAGGAGGAGGAGAGGAGGAGGAGGAAGAGGAGGAGGAGGAGGAGGGAGGGAGAGGGAGGAGGAGGAGGAGGAGGAGGAGGAGGAGGAGGAGGAGGAGGAGGAGGAGGAAGGAGGAGGAGAGGAGGAGCAGGACGAGGAGGAGGAGGAGGAGGAGGAAGAGGAGGAGGAGGAGGAGGAGGTAGAAGCTGCAGGATGCCACACCCCGAGGTTTTCCAGAGACACCGTGCAGGGCCGCCTTGCCTGGCGCAAGGGCTGCGCGCAGACCGCCCTCGCGCGAGAGAGTTTCGCACGCGTGGCCGAGCCACGCAGGCAGTCTTCCTCTGCTGCGCGCAAGGGGCAACGGCCCGACCTCGACGACGACGACGACGACGATGACGACGACGACGATGACGACGACGACGACGACGGCGGCGGCGATGGCGACGACGACGGCGACGGCGACGGCGACGACGGCGGCGGCGGCGACGGCGACGGCGACGGCGACGGCGACGGCGACGGCGACGGCGACGGCGACGGCGGCCACGAGCGGGGGCTTACGACTCCCCCCCCCCCCCGCGACGCAGACGAGAACAGTCTCCATTCTCGACGACCTCCGCGACGACCTCGGCGCGCGCGCGCACGTCCGAGGAGCACCGGGTGTCCGCAGTCTTTTTAGCTCCGCCCGAGCTGGGCAGCAGCGGGCCGGCAGGGCTGTGACGCGCCGTGAGGTCCACGCGTTGGTCCTCCTCGCCTGCGCGCTTTTCTCCAGTCCACGGCATTGCCTGCGGAGGCATCGGCGTGCAACTCGCATGCTCTTGCGGGGATCCAGAGTGGGGAGGGCAGAAATGGGCATCGAAGGGTGGGTTGAGGAGGAGGCGCTGGGACCTGAAATGCCTCGATACGCGCGCTTCAAAACGCAACACGTCCCGTGTTCGAGACGTCCGTGTCAATACGTTGCGTGTTGGCTCCACGTATTGGACCACGTTTTGGCGAATGGATCGCGTCGGACCCACGTTTTCAGTCTACGTGTTGAGCTCCGTATCAATACGGTACGTGTTGCGTGTTGCGTATCGGGGCAGCTTAGTCTGTGATAGTTCCCCCGCTTGTTGACCCCCCCTGGACCACCCCCTTGAACGTCTTGAGCCTGCTCGGGTGGCGACGCCTCCCAGCAGCAGCTGCGCAGGCTTGTGGCACCTTGAGCCGCCCCTGTGCACATGCAGTCCTCTTGGTCTCGCTCTCGCTTTCCTGCTCGCCCCCAGCCATTTGTCACGTGTGGTATCCGCGCTGAGCCCGCCTCACCGCCGGGCGGCCCGTAGTCAAGAGCCGCGGTGCTCTTAGCTCTGGGACGCCAGGCGGCGGACACTGTGGCAGTTGGCCGGCCGTCCTGTTGAGGCGTAAGCTTGATGCCGACTGCCATTGAGCGACGCACAAAAAAGGGGGTCGTCTGCGCCGGCATTGGCGCGTTAGCTGCCCGCGTAAGTTTGCGCGTAAGCGCCCTCGTCTCCAATGTAGCGTGCCGCGCTGGCGGCCCGCGTAAGCCGCTGCGTGTGGTCGCTGTGCCATCTCGCGGAAGACCCGTTTTTGATCGTCGTTCATGTGAGTATCGGTATAGCGTCTCTCATCGCAATGCCGGGCATTGCCACTACGCACTCGCTGCGTCTCTGCCGCGCGCTGCGCTCCAGGATTTCTGCAGTGATTGCTGCAACGTTCCGTTGTATCATGCCTCGCCATCCTTTCATCCCCCCTCCTCGCGCTTGCGTGTACGTGGCCCCTTCTGCTAGACTTTGTACCCGAGCAGACTCACAGTCGGGACGCTTGATCTGTAAGCAGCGTAGGTTGGCCATTCAAAAGTTGTAGCTGCCATAACGTAGCGCCCTCGCAGCAAGATGAACAAAGTGTAAGCATGCGCCCTCGTCCTTTGTCTCTTCTCTCTCCTCTTCTCGCTCCTCGCTCCGCCCTCCTCGTCCTGCTGCGTGGGCCAACTTGGACCTCCTGAGCGCGGAAGAATACCCCGAAATGCTAGAGCATTCTGGGCCGTAGTAGTTTTGCCCATCTGCGGTTAAGGGCAAGCTTCCGTGCCGACGCTTGGGTCTACAGGGCTTTCCGCCGTGGAGTTGTTCTGGATAGCCGAGGGCCAAAACGGTGTCCATGAAACTCTGCAGTCGCGAGCTGCCCACTCCTTACAGTGACGCATCAAGGTGCCTTGCTGCCGGGGGTGACGGGGGGGGGGGGCAGAGTCGGACTCCAGTTGTGGCCCAGGTCGGCGCGCCCGCAGAGCCTCGCCTCGGCGTCGCCCCAACATACTTATACTATGTGTGCGTCGCCCCCCCCCCCCCCCCCCCCCCCCCCGGGGGCGACGCGCGCACCGAGAAATCTCATAGTATATGCGTCGTGGCCGGCCTTTTCTGGCCACGCCGCTCGGGAGACGATATACCACAAGATTGGCGTACTATCTGTTCGGGTCGGACGCGCGCCTCCAAGGAGGACACATGGTATTCGTATGCCCCTGTGCGCCCCATCGCCCCGGAAACGTCGGCACACCTCGCCCGTGCACGGATCGCACCCCACGGGAAGCTCCCACTGCGGCCCCTGAGGCCGCGCCCCCGTGCTGCCGCCCCACCCGCCGCGCGGCTCGGCTCCCCGCGGGGAGCCTCCGCTGCGGCCCCGGAGGGCGCGCACGTGGTGCACCGCAGAGCTCGAGTCCAAACGGCCCGTGGACACCTGCGGTACAGAACTCACTTGTCGTGTTGAGGCCCTGCGCGCGGCGACGGGGCGGAGGAGGTCGTGGAGCAGCGAGCGCGCGTGCGCGGTTGGGAGCGCCCGAGCTCTCCGAGACCGCTGAGAGGGTCCCGCAGCGGCAGGCTAAGCCATCCGGGCGAGGTTCATGATGTTCTAACCTGCTTTGGCCCTGATCACCAGCAAGACTTTCGAGCACCGAGAGAGTGCCGAAACTTTCTGAAGTGTCGGGCCCTGGGGGGCGATACTCGTTCGACACCGCTGTGCGCGAAGCGTGCAGGCATCCGACGCGGGCGCCCGCTGCGGCCGGCCCTCCCAGACGTTCGGGTGCAGCTCTCGGGAGGCCGACATCTGGCTTTGCCCCGGTCGGAACTCCGGCCTGATCCAGCTCGGTGCCGCCAGATCCCGTTTCAGTCCCGCCCGGTCCCAGTTCATCCGGCTCTATCCCGCTTGATGCGCGGCCTAATCTGGCGCAGTAGCCCCCCTAGTGGGGCTCAGTCCTCTTCCCATTCCGACGAAGACCTCCCTTCGGTTGCCTCCCAGTAGGTAGAAAGAGTCTGGACACAAGGGGAAAGCATTGAGGTGGACAGATGCGGTTCATCGGGAGGGTGAGGAGGAGCAGCAGCGGAGGGAGGGAGGGCATGAGTACTCCAAAGAAGGCATCTATCGAAGACGCCTGCGTCGGGTCACCGCCGCCCCTGCTTTGTGGAAACGCCCAGAAGGCATAGGGTTGGACCGAAATCTAGCCAAGCTTTTGGACTATGTGCTCCTCCTGTTGCCGTCGAAGAAACCCTTGGGACACATTTCGGATAGGAAGAGGGAGGAGGAGGAGGAGGAGGAGGAGGAGGAGGAGGAGGAGGAGGAGGAGGAGGAAGAGGAGGAGGAGGAGGAGGAGGATAGGCGGGATCATGAGGACAACGAGAAGGCCTCTTTGGCGCATCGTTGGGGCTCTTTGGGGGCCTCCTGGTTGCGTCTGGGGGGCCTCTTCGAGGTCTCCGAGGGGCCTCTTGGGGGTGTGGGCCTCGTTCGGGCCTCGTGAGCGCTTCTTGAGCCGTCCCAAAGCTCCCTTTGCCCGTCTGACGCTTCCGGCTACCATCTTGGGGGGCTCTCTGGGCCCTCTTGGAGCGCTCTAGGGCCGTCTTGGGGGTTTCGTTGGCCCTTTTGTGCGCTTCTTGGGCCGTCTTGAAGCCGCTTTGGAAGTGTTGGGCACCGTCTTTGGCTGTCGGATGCTCGAACGGGCGAGGACTCGAAACTGAGTCAACCAACCGATGCAACATCAATACTGTGTGCTTTTTCGGGTGTGCTTTTTCGGGGTCTCCTGGAGGGCCTCTTGGACCCCTCTCGGGGGCGTCTTGGGGGCCGCTCGGGTCGGTTTGAGGCCATCTTGGGGAGTCTTGATACATTCGTGGCGCGCCTTGGGCCATCTTGGAACCAGCTTGGCCATCTTCGAGGCCCTCTTGGACTGCCGTGGAGGCATTCCTGGCTGTCTTGCAGGCATCGTGAAGCCATCTCAGGGGGGAAGCATCTCGGTCATTCATGTTTTGCGTGGTCAGCTGGATCGGCAGAGATCCCACGGGGGAACCTTGTCGAGGAGTTCAAACAGTTTGCGTCCAGCGCGCTGTGCTGTGTACCCCTGTGGCAAAAGGCAGGGGGGCGGTGGATCAAGTGGCCCTGGGTCCATCCTCCTACCATTCCTGAGTCGTGGGCAAGAGGCCTCTTAGAGGCCTCTTGGGGTCTCTTGGGGATCCTCTCGGGGGGCATCTTGGATGCACGTATTGGGCTTCTGGGGGCCTCTTGGCAGCCTCTTGGGGCATCGTGTGGGCGCGTTGGGTGCCACGCGGGAGCCTGCTGGCGGTCTCGGGGGCCATGTTTTGGGGGGGGGACGGCTCGACATGTAAGTTCGGGTTCTTTGCGGAGGCGCCGCCAGGGCCATCGTGTGGCTCTCTTAGGCCGTTGTTGGGCCCTCTTGGGGGCCCTCTCAGGCCATCTTGGAGCGGTCTCGGGGGCCCCTGTGGTCGTCTCGAAATGCAGGAATGCAGGAATGCGGAATCGCATAAGATGTTGAATCGTTGATCAACCAACGTTTTTGTCCCGTCTCCTTGGGCTCTCTTGGGGGTCAGTTTGGAGTTGTCTTGGGACGTCATGGAGTTATCCTGGGCCGTCTGAAGAGCATCGTGGGCGTCTGGGGGGCTCTTGGACCGACTCGTGAACCCCTTGGAATGTCTTGCGACCCTCGTGGGCTCCTTTTGGACCGTCTTGGCCCTCTCTGGCCTCCTGGGAAACTCGCGCGACCGACTCCGAATGTGCGCCAAGGGTCCTGCGACTGGCCCCAAGAAATCTGCGGACTGCGACCTGGGCCCCTGACAGATCCAATACAGAGAGCATGCGAGTTGCTCCCGATGTCTGGGTCAGGGGCTTTCTGCCTGCATGCTCGCGGAAGCTTGAAGTGTGTCATCAATCGGCTTGTGCAGCGAGAACAACAACATCTATATGTTTGTATGTGTGTACGTATGTATGAGGTACATATGTGTATATATATATATTCCATTCAGAGAACTTGGGAAGAACCTCAGGACACACCACTCAGTGCCTACAGCACGGTGGCAGATGAACCACCACCATGTTTGCCCAGAGCCATCCTGGATCCTGGGATGGACTGCAGTTCCTCCGGATCTCGGCCAGAAGGGCGTACAGTGGAAACTCACGCCAAAAGAAACACACTGCTTGCCTCCAGCGTGCCCTGGGTTTCTTGGGTTGCGATGGTTTTGCTGTGGACGGCGCGACGCTCCCACGCCAAGAACCCATGGACGTCCTGGGGCCCCAGGGTTGGGTTTCTGGTGGGAGGGTTCTTGTGGTCGAGCTCCTCCTGTATACGCTGTGTGCCAGGGCCCAGGGTGGCCAATAGTTTTGCGAACCTAACTCGAGTACAAGACTGAGTTCAGACCTTTAGATGCAAACAGACGCACGCGCCCGATGACGCTGAATCGATTGATGTGCGCACCAGCTCGGCAGCTCTCCTAAATTGCGAGTTAAGTGCAGAAAACCGACAGCATCTGTCAGGAGGAGGAGGAGGAGGAGGAGGAGGAGGAGGAGAGGAGGGGAGGAGGAGG